TGAGAGGAGGCAGGAGATGAAGGGGGAGGAGGTAGGGCAGGGTACGAGCAAGCGTAAACAAAAACAGGGCTACGGTCACGTCCTCACATACAGCCACGCTTACACCAGCTAACTCTGTCTCCACCGTCATGAACTACACATCCGACCACATAAGGCTGTAATACATAAACATTACTGAGGTTCAAAGATATTACACGCGCCAGAAGTGGTTTTAACTGTTGGAAGGTTCCCAACAGTGAAAAAGTGGATTATATGTAGCTGGTGCCCCTAGATACACTCTTACGTATATGGTGATGATCCCGACTGTGTTGTTAAGTCTGTACCTTGAGACTGTCGCCACACCATCCACTCTAGCCTCAACCTGACGCCGGTGGGAGGACTGAAAGAGCCGCCAGCAGCACCCAGGAATACCCAGCACACAATGGGGCAGGTCGAGACAGGCAGGTGCAACACCTGGCCCTGTCACACGTGCAACAAACAACATCATGGCCCCGGACCCCTCTGACCATGACATACTACCACCTGTGAGGAAGGCATCCAGGAGACGGACGTGACACTTATAAATCCTGTGGTACTGTACTGGCGGAGGTCAGCAGCGCCTCTCTCTCTCCCCAGTACACCAATAGACACAGCTACTACTGAACACCTTCCACCCGATATGGTCCTATTACCAATTAGCTGCCACCATCAACACAGGGAAACACTCATTTAGCGTCAATAGGGAGGCCGAGGAGTGATCACTTGTTAGCTGCAATGACAGCCGAGGAGTGAGGCACTGCGTTGTGTAACAACCTGCAGCAGTGTAAATAATTCGATCGTGCCAAAGATATACAAGTTTAGCCTCAAGATGTCAGTCTCGGCTGGTGGGGGGGGCAAGAGGGAGAGGACGGCAGGTGTGTTAGAAAGTCAGTAGGTGGAGGGACGGCTGGAGCTAGGCAAGATGTGGAGAAGGAAAGGATGGGGGAAAGCAGAGAGTGGAAATGAAATGGCAGGGGTGAAGACTGAGCGACAGGGATAAATGTGGTGTAATAATAATAATAATAATAATAAACGGTTTATTAATAGAGTTGCAGCCGGTGGCTGAAAATATACAAACTTACATTTGATTTAGACATAATGATATGCGTTGAATACATTTACAGGGTTGTAAAGTACACAAATCAGGAGTTGTTTATTATTTTAACAATAGATGGGATGGTTATATTCTTATATCTATCGGTGCGGTCTCTTATGGGCTGAATTTTGTTGTAGTGGCGGACTGCGCGAAGTGGGCGGGGGATTGCCGGTGGCAGGAGGTGGCGATGACGAGGATGGTGTGTGTGTGGGCAGGGTGAAGCACAGTGAGGTTATCATAAAAGGTGTGTGTCAGTCAGGTGCCACACCACTACTGTTACCTTATCGACACTCTGCTGCAACACCCTCCCCTCATCAGACCTGAGGAATTACCCAAGAGGCCTTCTCTTGCTCAACACCCGAGTCTCTTATCTAGCAAGGACGACGACAATAAACCCCAACAAACACAACAACATATTCTGGAATTACGGGCGAGGAGGACAAGTGAGAGGGGTGTTAGAAGAAGAGAGAGGGAAGGAGGAGGAGAGGGGGGGTGAGAGAGGGGGTAAGAGGGGAGGAGGAGAGAGGGGGTAAAAAGATGGAAGGAGAGGCGGTCAAAGAGAGGGAATGAGGAAAGAAGAGAGGAGGGGTGTTAGTCAAGAGAGGGAAGGAAGATAGGAAGAGAAGAGGGAAGGGTGGAGAGGGGAAAGCTGAAGCCACCAATACCAACCTAGCATCCCCTCATGAATAAATAATCTCATCACGCATCAATATATTACGTGAGAGAATTAGTTAAGACCAGGGAGGGACACGGCGCAAACACACACACACACACACACAAAAATATTGAGGTTAGTTAAGAGGAGGCTGAGAGGGGAGGGGTGGTAGGAGGAGAAGCAGGAAGAACCCCCCCCCACACTTTCGCCCCCTCTCTCGTGTTTCAGGGGAGGGAGGAGGGAAGGAGCACGATAACCCCCCTCTATGTTGGTCACTTGCAAGCAACACCTCGACACACACACACTGCAGTCATCCATCACCAGCCCTGAGTCAATTCACGATCAATGGACCTCTACGACTTTAGGCTCATCCGCTGTCATATCCCAAACAAAACGGCCCAAGAAACTAACTCCTTCGAACGACGACTCTCCCTGCGGTTTTCAGATTAGCACGAGCCATTCAAAGCGACAGCAGGCGATCATGATAACGCTTATCAGTCTCGCTATCAAATCAATAAAGCTACTGAGGAGATAATCTAAATAACGCTGACAGTATCGAGAGGAAAAAAAAATATGCTAACTTTAAAGTTTGCTCGACGCTGACAAATTCTGAGACTTTTGACACAATCCACAGGAATATCTTTATTATAGCCACACAACGTGCTTCCTCACACGTTCAGTATATACAAAACACGCGAGTCACCTCAAAAAATAGACACCGGAGATTATTTCACCTGAAGATTAACCTCCTTAACACTAACCTAATCTACCCTCCCTCCCCACAAGTAGCGTTTAAGATAGTTAATCTTCAGGTGTTAAATAATCTTGGGTGTCTTAATCTCCCGAGGGATCTATAAATACTCCCACACACACATTTATCAATACAACTTAATCAAGCGGGTAAAAAAAACACGAGAGAGAGAGAGAGAGAGAGGAAGCGATAATAGTCTATCCTCTAATAATAACCAAACGACAGGTGTAAGCCCTAAGAGACGATAAAAGAGTTCAACATTGACCTACACTAAGACAGTCCACTAGAGCCACCCCGCCCCCCCAACCCTGCCACCAGTGATGACGTGTATTACGAAACTTTCCCAATATGTATATGACCTGGAGGGACATAGTCTACTGCACTGGTATTACGGGCGTGTTCATGAGTACAAATTACGGCAATAACTCCACAACAATAACGCCACTAACATTAGCCATCACAATAACGCCACTAACATTAGCCATCACAATACCTGCACTAACATTGACCCTCGCAACACAAAGAAAGTGTCACAAATATTTCACAAGTTCCTGGTCGCCCAACACTCATTCATTTTCTAGCGATATACATACAGTATTTATCAGCTGCCTTCAGGATATAACTGCAGCACTGGAAAAGGCTCAGCCATGCCATGTCGATACTGTTGCTGGTGTTCACTTTGTATCTGGATTATTCTGGCTAAAGTACTTCAACTACAAGTGCACTCTGGCAAACAAGGTCCCTCAGACATCACTACAAAAAGCTCATTGCATAACTACCAGGACTGCCCAGGACAACAAAATTGGTATTACGGGAAATAGGAATTCACCTGGACAATAGTAGGGTACGTTGGTTAACACCCCTCTTGTTAATGTTTAATTACCTTCAACCTCTCTCACCCCCACCAACACCATGGGGAGGGAGGTGCCACACGGGCCAGCTGTTCACGTCAACAAAGGTTGGCAGGTGGCCGGGGCCCAGACACACTCGTTCCAATCGTTGTTATCAAGGCCACACAAGTCACCGTCTCACCTGCGCCAGATAATATATTCGTCACGTAATAAAACGACCCCAAGGTGAACCCGCGACGTGAGTACTGAATAGTCTATTATACACAGTTTGTGTTGGGGTCAAAATCAATATGATCATTTTTTTTACCTGTGTTTGTGTACAGAAGAGTGTACTGTGTATGTACGTGCACAAAAATTCAGGTGTGTTGGGGTGATATATATCTCCCAAATACACAAGAATTTGTATACATGTTAAAGCATTTGGGATTTGTGTGACAGGGCAATGCATTAAAACTTCGGTCCATGAACACACCATAAACGTCTACACCTACACCAGTCCCCATATAGAATGGCAACACTGGTCCCCTCACATGGTCCCTGGGAAGGTTAGTACACTACTTGTTGGTGAGATAATGACTTTATCAACACGAGGAGACACTATGATCCCTAATACCATGATGTAACGCCGCCTGCCACACACTTGAACATTACTAACTATCACACTGCCACTCTACCTGACACAACAAGTGGTGGGACATTGTCACTGGTCTGAACCAAGTTATTTAGGGAACAAAGGGTTGGACACTGACAGCGAGTAAGTCTGGACCCCATCAGCGAGTTGTGCGCCAAGTACGACTACTTGTGTAATGAAATGTACAGGATAAACAGGGTGGGCCGCGCGCTACCCACCAATATACCAGAGTTGGGTACGTCCCGTGAGAACCCTGCCCCCCTCCCCCACCATCCTCAGCGGGTGTGACCTCACTGGCCATCATCTACCCTACACTAACCGGTGGAGAGCAGCCCACCATGACCTAGGTTAGGTGAGGGTCAGGTCAAGTCACTGGTGTTTGGTAGACACGAGGCAACAGGGATCAGCCAAGAACAAGTCAAGAAACACAAAGCTGATGGTGGCAGTAGTGGTCCCTGCGCCTGTACCCACAATGGCAATGACCGAGCCTTCCCCCAGCCAACAACCCTCACCTTACACAAGTACACGCAGCTGTGTGTATGGTCAACAGTGATGGTACGAGGTTACTGTAGTCTACGGTCCAGCTATGGTTCAACTGGGCACAGCCTTGAGTAGGGGGATGATGCCAGCGGGTAGGCCTAGTATATTTATTCGCAAACTACACCTAATATTCAGATGGCAGTTATAATAAAGGCAGCGGAAGGTTCCTCTTATGTTCACATATGCCCCAGTATACATGTCGCGTCTTAAATGTCCTTTAAAAATCAACCAAAAAAATGCACAGAAAAAATCTGTTAGTTTGGCACGCCCAGTGTGGACACCATACACACTGTACGCACCACACGGGGTTTAAACACCATCACAACTCTTAAACACCCACTGACCCACACAGTATATCACTAATAAAACACACAGTGATTCGGGACTACCCATGAGACAAGACATAAACAACATAAAGCAACAGGACGAAAATATAGGAAGTAAACATTAGGGCCTACCAGCAGCCGACGCACGGACAGACGCCGAGTCCCAATGCTCCCTCGATGCTGACTTGATGTGTAAATCCACTGTGTGCAACACTGATCCTTCACACGGTACACAACAACAGCACTGCAATAGCACCTTATCACACATTCAGCGGTGAACTATCTCACTAACTGAGCCACAAACCATATATTAAGTTTCCGCCTGGACCCAGCACGAGCAAACAACCCTCACCCCTAAAGCCACACTGGCAACTGGAGAACCAAGCGTATGTGAGCAGCGACGCGCGGTCCTCGGCCACCACGCACAAAATTTAGGCCCCTGCTCACTGCCGGGATGTGTCGCATACTTTTGAAAGAATCCAAATAAAAAACATAGTTTACCCTTAACCTTCAAAAATACACAAGAGATAATTTTATAAATACGTACATCACATTCCGAACAAAAGATAGTTTATTAAACAAAAGTAATACATTCGTAAATACATAACATATTTATACAGTACAAATAATCAACAATGTTCAGTCATGCCAATAAATTCTAATTGTCAGTTTAAACTTTTATCACCAAACAACAAGTATTACAACCTTGAGAGAGAGATACGTGCAATTCCGCTCGTGTCCCTGTGTACCCAGGGTTCTGTAGTGGCCTGGATATCTGGGAAGATGGGACACAAGGTGATATGAATGGGAGGTAGGAAAGAGCCTGCTCACACACACACACATGAACGCCCGCTAGGGAAGTACACAGTGACTCTGATTTATGGAACACCTGTGGAAACTATCTTATAATTGATAGAAATATACACACACACATAACTCAGGGAAATATGTGTGTTAGAATTTTATCCAAGCCAACCAAAGTACTGGATTGGATAGCGATCGTGTCTTCCACTACTGAGCTACTGGTGTGTAAGTATTTCAAACACAAGTATATTACGGTCTGAATAATTAAATGTGTCTGTCTGTCTGTGTAAATGCATAAAATTCCGTCTCTTTCTCAATAACCCCCCACCACACAACATCACTATACCATACATACACCCATACTACATCACACACACACATCACTATACCATACATACACCCATACTACATCACACACAAACTCAAATATACCATACATACACCCATACTACATCACACACACACAACACTATACCATACATACCCATACTACATCACACACACAACATCACTATACCATACATACACCCATACTACATCACACACACACAACACTATACCATACATACACCCATACTACATCACACACACACATCACTATACCATACATACACCCATACTACATCACACACACAACACTATACCATACATACACCCATACTACATCACACAACACTATACCATACATACACCCATACTACATCACACACACACATCACTATACCAAATACATATACCCATACTCACACACTAACAATATCACAATTACTACCATACATACACCCATACACATCACACACACACACATCACTATACCATACATACACCCATACTACATCACACACACATCACTATACCATACATACACCCATACTACATCACACACACACAACACTATACCATACATACACCCATACTACATCACACACACACATAAATAACACAACACTTACACTAAACCAAACCTATCGTAGACCGACATACACAATCATACACACAGATATACACATATTCACTACACACATGTTAAAAATCACACATTTAAACAACCAACACAATTTAAATGACAAGACCGGTGTGCTAAACTAACCCATTATAGGCAAGGGCGTGTGGGCGTGTGGTTGGGCGTGGGAGGGGGTTGCATGGATGGGTAGCGCGGAGGACCCATAGATAGGTGGTGGGGGTGGGGTGTTGTGGTGCACACACCTCCTCCACAAGGTTACAGCGCCACACACACACACACACACACACACACACACACTATATCATGCATATGAGAGAAAGGATCCTACAAGACTGGAGAGGATCCTACAGTGACTGGAGAGGATCCTACAGTGACTGGAGAGGATCCTACAGTGACTGGAGAGGATCCTACAGTGACTGGAGAGGATCCTACAGTGACTGGAGAGGATCCTACAGTGACTGGAGAGGATCCTACAGTGACTGGAGAGGATCCTACAGTGACTGGGGATGATCCTACAGTGACTGGGAGGATCCTACAGTGATTAAGGGGTCCTACAGAAACTGGGAGGAGCCTAAGTGATTGGAGAGGATCCTACAGTGACTGGAGAGGATCCTACAGTGACTGGGGATGATCCACAGTGACTGGGAGGATCCTACAGTGACTGGGATGATCCTACAGTGACTGGGAGGATCCACAGCGCCTGGAGAGGATCCTACAGTGATTAAGGTCCACAGAAACTGGGAGGAGCCTAAAGTGATTGAGAGGATCCTACAGTGACTGGAGAGGATCCTAAAGTGATTGGAGAGGATCCTACAGACTTGAGAGGATCCCACAGTGACTGGGGATGATCCTACAGTGACTGGAGGATCCTACAGTGACTGAGAGGATCCTACAGTGACTGGGGATGATCCTACAGTGACTGGAGAGGATCCTACAGTAACTGGAGAGGATCCTACAGTGACTGGGGATGATCCTACAGCGCCTGGAGAGGATCCTACAGTGATTAAGGGGTCCTACAGAAACTGGGAGGAGCCTAAAGTGATTGGAGAGGATCCTACAGTGACTGGGATGATCCTACAGTGATTGGGGAGGATCCTGCCATGATTTACGGATCCTACAGTGACTGGGGAGGAGCCTACATAATTTACGGACCCTACAGTGACTGGGGATGATACTACAGTGGCAGAGAGGATCCTAAAGTGACTGGGAATGATCCTACAGTGATTTACGGATCCTACAGTGACTGGGGAGGATACTACACTACTACAGTGACTGGGAAGGATCCTACATAGATTTACGAATCCTACAGTGACTGGGGAAGAACCTACAGTGGTTTACGGATCCTACAGTGACTGAGGAGGATCCTACAGTGATTATGAACTTACAGCGACTGGGGAGGATCCTACGGTGATTGGATCCTACAGTGATTGGGGAGGATCCCACAGTGATTTACGAGTGACTGGGGAAGATCCTACAGTGATCTACGGATCCTACAGTGACTGGGGAGGATCCTACAGTGATTTACGGATCCTATAGTGATTTACGGATCCTACAGAGACTGGGGAGGATCCTACAGTGACTGGGTGATATCACATGTATCAATTTCACACGGGAAGCCTCAGAGGTTAATGAAAATGGGGGATGTGGCGACGGCAGGAAGTGTATCATTTTGAGGATCGTCGGCCCCCCAGCCCGCCCCCTCCCTTCCTCCCTCTCTCTTCCTTCCTGGTCATCCTTCTTCCTCTCTCCTGGCCATCTCTCTTCCTCCCTTCCTCCCTCTTCTTCCCTCTCTCCCTGGCCATCTCTTTCCTCTCTCCCCGGCCATCTCTTCCCTCTCTCCCTGGTCATCTCTTCCTCTCTCCCCTGGCCATCTTCTCTTCCTCTCTTCCTGGTCATCTCTTTCCTCTCTCCCTGGCCAACTCTCTTCCTCTCTCCCTGGCTTCTCTTTCCTCTCTCCGGCATCTCTTCCTCTCTGCCTGGCCATCTCTCTCTCTCCCCTGGCCATCTTCTTCCTCTTCCTGGTCATCTCTTCCTCTCTCCCCGGCCATTCTCTTCCTCTCTCCCGATCATCTCTCTTCCTCTCCCTGGCCATCTCTCTTCCTCACCTCCCGGCCATTCTCTTCCTCTCTTCGGTCATCTTCCTCTCTCCTGGCATCTCTTCCTCACCTCCCTGGCTTTCTTCCTCTCTTCCTGGTCATCTCTTCCTCTCTCCCTGGCCAACTCTCTTCCTCTCACCCTGGCCATCTCTCTTCCTCTCTCCCCTGGCCATCTCTTTCCTCTCTGCCTGGCCATCTTCTTCCTCTCCTGGCCATCTCTCTTCCTCTCTCCCTGGTCATCTCTTCCTCTCTCCCTGGCCATCTCTTCCTTCTCCCTGGCCATCTCTTCCTCACCTCCCTGGCCATCTCTTCCTTCTTCCTTGTCATCTCCTCCTCTCTCCCTGGCCATCTCTTCCTCTCTCCCTGGTCATCTCTCTTCCTCTTCCTGTCATCTCTTCCTTCTTCCTGGCCATCTCTCTTCCTCTCTCCTGGTCATCTCTCTTCCTCTCCTCCCACATCTCTTCCTCTCTCTCCCTGGTCATCTCTCTTCCTCTCCCTGGCCATCTCTCTTCCTCTCTTCCCTGGCCATCTCCTCCTCTCCTGGGCCATCTCTCTTCCTCTTCCTGGTCATCTCTTCCTCTCTCCCTGGCCATCTCTCTTCCTCTCTCCCTGGTCATCTCTTCCTCTTCCTGGCCATCTCTTCCTCTCTCCCTGGCCATCTTCCTCTCTTCCTGATCATCTCTTCCTTCTCCCTGGCCATTCTCTTCCTCTCTCCTGGTCATCTCTTCCTCTCTCTCCCTGGTCATCTCTTCTCCTGGTCATCTCTTCCTTCTCCCGGACATTCTTCCTTCCCACCCTCTCTGGCCATCTACCTGCTTACTACTGTTAATTAACAAGACACAGGTGTAATAATGAGTTGCCAGGTAGGTGAGGGAGGCGGGTAACACAGGCAACAGAATAATGGGTAACACAGGCAACAGATAATGGGTACACAGGCAACAGATAATGGGTAATACTGGCAACAGATAACGGTACAAGCAACAGATAAGGGAATACAGGCACAGATAATGGGTACACAGGCAACAGATAATGGGTACACAGGCAACAGATAATGGGTACACAGGCAACAGATAATGGGTAACACAGGCAACAGATAATGGGTACACAGGCAACAGATAATGGGTACACAGGCAAAAGATAACGGTACACAAGCAAGATAATGGTACACAGGCAACGATAATGGGTACACAAGCAACAGATAATGGGTACACAGGCAACAGATAACGGGTACACAGGCAACAGATAATGGGACACAGGCAACAGATAATGACTACACAAGCAACAGATAATGGGACACAGGCAACAGATAACGGGTACACAGGCAACAGATAATGACACACAAGCAACAGATAATGGGTACACAAGCAACAGATAATGGGTACAGGCAACAGATAACGGGTACAGGCAACAGATAATGGGTACAGAGGCAGCAGATAACGGTACACAGGCAACAGATAATGGTACAGAGGCAGCAGATAACGGGTACACAGGCAACAGATAATGGGTACACAGGGCAACA